TGCTTGTTCGTGGTCATCCCCAAGGCCCATGTTAAGTGGACACTTGGGTCAAGGCCTCATTTTTACTCAAGTGAAATGAGGGTCTACTTCTCAGGTACTCCACGTCAAAAAGAGCCACGAGAATGTCACCGAAGTCACTGCTCTTTCCCAACGTCCTCTACCCCACCCCAGCACCCAAGACAGCAGAGCTCTGGGGTGGCTGGTTTCCACCTTTTGGCTCAGTCAGCTGTAGTTGGTGGTGTTCAAAGAACCCATGGCCACCCGCTCCACAGACAGGCCAGACCTGTGACGGCCGGTTTGTGCTCAAGTCCTGAGCCTCCAACTTGATCTGTCCCATCCAGAGCAAAACCAGGGAGATCCAGGCAGCCCCTAGAGGATGCTTTTTGCACTCTTGCCCACGGCTCTGCCACGTGGGCAAGAGCTGTCAGTCACTGGTCTAATTTTTGGTGAATTGTATATCCCTTGCTTTACTGTATATATACTACAGCCAACAAGATGAACCAGACACAACACTGACAACAGTTTGGTTTCAGGAGAATAAGACACAGGAGTCAAAGTAAATTTTCCAGGCTGCCTTCAGGCACTGGGGACTCAAAGCCACCCCATGTCCCGAGCCCCGAGGCAACTCACCAGCTTTGGCCATCTCACAGGCTTGCAGGCCAAGCAGAGGCACTTCCGAATCTCTGAGATGACTTCTAGAATGCAAGCCATCCTCGGCCACTGAGACCTTCAGGTTTCCAGAGCAAATTTTGTTTCCAGAAGAGAAATAATGACTAGGCATTTCCCTGCAGAGATTAGGGGTCAGTGTTAACAGTGGGGTTTGGGGTCCACCATCTGCTGGACTGCTGGGTGGGGGAATCAGGTAGACACGCGTTGCCGGGCTGGGCTGTCTGCCTGCCTACCTTCCTTCCCCGCCTTAGCTTTGCTGGAACTCTCTCTCCTGATGGCTGCTCCCCAGTCTCACCCTGCTGCCAACTGGGCCCCCCAGGTAAGTAAAGCCTGTCTGAAGTGGGTGGTCTTTATGAATCAAAGGCATGCTTTCTACATGGTTTCAAGTGTGGATGAGCTAAAGTGTTTTCATTTCTATGTCTTTGAAAACCAGGCTCAGGTTAGGTGAGCTTTTCGTTCACTTGTTGAGTGCGATTTTAGTTGTGAAGAAATAGAACAGAAAATAGGCAGGTGTACGAAGCCAGCCTGTAGTTTTACATTTGCATAAAAGGGGTGGTCAGCTTTCCTAGTGGGTTTTGCCAGGGTGCTTGGTACTTCCCTGGACAGTCTGTAGCAGGGATGCCTACTACCCAGATACCCACACTATCACTGAGTGGACATTAAGCCTCTCTGCACCCTGGCGGACCCTGACCCAGCACGTTGTCTGGGTTGAACAGAAGCATCTAGAAGTGATGGGATGGCACAAAATCAAGGAATAAACAGGATCAAGGCAGGTCAAAAGTACATTCAAGAGCTGTAACTGACACTCCAGGACTTGGCCTGAGACAATGCCCAGGGTTCTCAGCCCTGGGACACAGCCTGGCCCTTTCCCCAAGCCCACCAGCACTACATCTAAGGCGGAGGGCCGCACACGCTCGCAGTGGAAAGCTGTCACAGCCACACCTGTCCCAATGCTTGCTAGGTCACTTGCCAAGCCACCAGCCTGATTGATGGACCTGGCTGGAGGTGAGCCTGGAACACCTGCTGTGTGGTTTCATTCCTCTGTGGACACTGCTTCAAGTCTACCAACATGGAGTTCATCTAGCTCTTTGCCCAGCCTGCTACCCCACTTTACTCCCAAGGGCAAGTGACAGAGCAGTCAGGGACAGGTGTGAAGGGGGAGGGGCTTGGAGAAGAGCCCAGCCAGGCCCCCCGGCTGTACAGTGGACACAGCATTATCGGGGGTGTGCTATCTTCCTAGAAAGTGAATTGAGCTCATTATAAATTTAACTGACATCATTGCAAAAATCACATGAAAATGGGGGGGTGGGGGGTGCTGGGTGTGTGTTGGCTGGGAAGGCAGAGGAGCAAGCCACTCGCAGCAGCATGCAAGCAGGGAACCTGGCCCCAGGCAACCGCAGCATTTAAGCAACAGTAAGTGGAACTGACCAGAAGCTCCCCCACGAACAAGAGCAGCCTACTCTCAGACCAGGAAGAGAATCCACACTGGCACACAGGCTGCCAATCTCTAGCTAAAGTGGAGGAATTACTTTTATTAAATCATGCAGAGCCCTTAAATCCTCAGGAAGTACGTGAGAAGACTCACTTTTCAGCGGGGAGCTCAAGGTCAGCTCGCCGGACCCAAGGCCCGAATCCTAGGGCTAGCCACAGGCAGATCCACGCCAAAGGCCCAGCAAAAACAAACTGTGGGTGGGTTAGGATGTCAAAAAAGATCCTATTTTAAAAAACAAAAAATCAAAAACACAGGGCAATGGTTTACCCAGCCCCCCAAACATGACAACATAACAGGCGTTCCTCGAAAAGTGAACCCACACTCTCTTGATATTATGGTTTGACAGAGAACAAATGACGCCACCCCAGTATTTTACTTGGCAGAAAACCATCTTTTTTTTTTTTTTTAAACAAATGCTAAATAAAACAAAGGGCAAATATACACAGAGGAGTTCATGAGAAAACAGAAATCCTTTCTCCAATGGGAACCAGAAAATTGGGAATGGCCAGTCCAAAGGATGAACAAAACATTTTTAAAAACCCAAACACAGTCTTAGAAGCCACAGAAAGAAGCTTGGATGAGGAAAAAGTCTGCCTCATGGCTATCTGATGTGATTGACCTTCGAGGATAAACCACATGACCCACAGAACTGGTTTGGAACGTGACTTTGCTAGATTTGGCCTATTGTTAAACTGTAAGATCTTGTCTGATGTTTCCTTAAGAGCACTGACCCTCAGGAAATAGTGTCACAGACACTGCTTTCCCTGGGGGTGGTCCACCAGAAAAGCTTGTTTCTTGAGCTGAAGAAACAGAAGCCTGGGGTCTCCTTGTCTGCAATGTACTAGGCACCCCCAGAGCAGCTCGAAGGGACTGACTCAAGTTCTTCTCACGGCCTCACGCAGTAGATTGAGAGGCTGGTGGCTGTCCACACTCTGCTCTCTGGCCCTTGGGGACGGCGCTGATGGGCTGCCACCTCAGCTTTCTAATCAGATGGCCTGGTCAAGTACGAACAGTCTGAGAGAGATCACCAGACACCCCACAAAGGGAGAGAAAATGACACGTGTTGATGACAATGCTGAATGACGGTCATGCAAACCTGAAAATGAAGTGACGGTCACTTTCATTCTGAGTGGAAACTGGAGGCTCAAGCACATCGTTGGCTACTAGGCCAACTACAAATAAACCAGACAGGACCTCACCATGTTCTTCCCCATGCATGAACTTCCAAGTTGTTGTTAGTAGGAAGCACACATTAAAGAGTATCTTCTTCCAACAACAGCTTCAGCCCCAAGAGGCTAAAAGCACCAAAACGACAAGTCAAAAGCTGGTGACAGGAAATCACTGAAATTTATATCCTCAATACGAAACAATCTAAAGCCAGGCAAATGACCTGGAAACCTACAAACATTTCAGCACAGAACAACGAACATGGAGTTCTAGATTTCAAGGACAGCTAATATGGATAACCCCACAATTTACCTGGTACCCTAGAAAATTCTGCTCATTAAAACGTTCTCCAGCTCTGGCCAGGCTAGGGCTCCATCTAAGGCCTTTCAGGGACCAAAAGCTGGGAATTCTTCATTCCAGCTGGCATCTCCTTGCTACAGCTACAGTCCCCTTCTGAGCCTTTTCTCTCTGCAGCAGGCTATGCTGAGCTTTCTCTTATACCAAGTTGAGACGCTCCATCTGGCTCATAAACACAGCTGGAAAGTTAGGGGGTGTGGGGTTACAATGCTCTCTTCCAAACCAAGCAAGCAAACAAGTTCCATGCAGGCTACCCAATGGCTGAATGAAACCAACCAGCTGTGCCGTCGAGGGACGACAGCCTTAAGTGGACAGTGCTGTTGTCCGTGACCAGCTGGCCAAGACACTGGCATAGCCCGCTGGCACAAACTCACCGCCAACCACTCCTGAAAGAGACTTGAGACCTTTTAAAAGCAAGTTTCAAGAGATCTCAATCATTTCTGACCTATTTGGGACTTGACAAAAATCCCAGCCTTGGCATCTTCAGGATTATATAGAAACCCCCGAATGTTACTTGAGAGATTTTTCCCATCTGAATAGTATGTGTGTTTTAAAATTTGGAGACAGGCCGCTCTGCCAACTGCGCTCTCCAGCCTCTTCCCGAATCCTGGAGCGGACAACAGCAGCCGCCTGGGGGGGGGGGGGCATCAACAGCAAAGCCTTCTGTGGGGTGAGTGAGGAGCACCAGTGAAGGAGGCAGAGTCCTCAGGTCAGATAGGCCGTCCCATTCAGAGGACTCCAGACTCCTGGGTTCATAAAAAATGTAGAGCCTTTTGCCACATAGTTTATTTGTAATGCGACGAGCAAGTTAACCGAGCAAATCAGAAGAGGATGACAACAAGGAAGCAGGGGAGATGGCAATGTCAGTCCTGCCGTTTTAAGAAGCAAACACAAACACAGAGCACAGGCCATGTGCGGTGAGGGAGAGGCTGGGGATGTCACAGGGGAAACTGAGGGCAGCGGAGCAGAGGTACCGCAGGGCCTGGTGCACACGGATGTCTCTCCTCTCCACCTCCCGTGTGGGAGGATGTGTCTGTGCCAGAGCCGAGGGTGCTGTTAATGTGGGGTGCTGCTAAGACTTAGCCCAGTAGCTGGGTCGGTGTTCTACCAGAAAGCCATCCCTTTAGTAACAGTGAAAACACTGGGAGAGAAACAGGGAAAGGGAGCGTATCGCCCCTTTTCTGGTATGTGATGACGCAAAAACTCCATCTGCCCAAATCATTAGTGAGGGAGCTAGGAAGAACGAGCAAGTGGCACCCACGTCTCAACTGGGGCCATGGGACAGACACACACAAAGAAACGCCAGCTCCGCTTTAAACCAACGTTGTGATTTTTATTGATGGGCGACAACTTTATACTCCTAAGATATCACTAAACTGTGTACAATTAGAGACGCGGCATTATAGAAGAGTAGATAGCAGAATTAAACAGCAGACATAGGGAAATATCCACCTTCGTTATTTTGCCCACTTTTCATTGTGTACACAGAAGCACGAATGCAATTTCAAATCTTTTAATGGCAATAAAGTTACAATCACCCATCTATGTGACTAACCCCTTAACATCTCCAAATATTTGATCTGCAACGCGGAGGTAAGCAGTTTCTCTTCGCACAATTAGAAGGTGATCTTCTTGTTAGGAACCAGCAACTTATTTTTTGTGTTTATTTTGCGTTTGAAGAACTATTTCTTCTCTGATAACTGGCTCATTTTTATCATTTATCAAAAACTAAAGGGTGGGGGAGGAAAGTACGATGGATTAAAAAATTTATTGTTTAAGGAAAGATAAAATTCATTTTTCACAAATTTACAGGTGTTGCTGGTGCAGGATTTATTCTACTAAGCAATTAGACTGGGACTCAATCGCAAGTTCCCCCTTCTTACTCAGGAATCGGCATTATTTCAGAAGTGTGGGTTTTGGTGTATTTTCTTAAATCAAGTGATAGTCTGTTTCAACCAAATGATTTTGATCTGGAAGTTAGAAGTCAACATAAAGGATGTCGCACACAAACCCCAGGCGTCTCCTTTTCACTCTAGCCCACTTTTTCAAAAGGGAGGAAGAGTGTCTCTGCAGAGCCGCTGAAGACAGGATGGGAGTCAGTGGGGCCGCAGGTGGCGCAGCGGCTACAGCAGGTCCACGCGGCGGTAATACAGGAGGTAGGCCGTGCGGTCGGCAGTGGGCTTCACCACCTGGTACTGGTTAATCACCTTGACCGCCTGGTCATCGATGCGCAGCCAGCCGTTCAGACCGATCTGGAAGACGTCTGTGGTGTAGTGGCCCCCGGTTGCGCTGCTGCCATGATGGTAGACCACTGGAAGAGAGGGCCCGCGGGGGCCCGGTAAGATGCACTGCACACCCAGTTTGGGGCTCCCACCCAAAGCGGTGGGACAGAGATGTGACCACACAAGGCAATCACACCAAAAGTCGAAAACCTCGAGCAGTTTACAACAAAAAGTTGCACACAGACGTCTTTACACAGTTGAATGCTCACTAGCGGACAAGCAACTGAAAAAAAAGCCCATGACGTGGAGCTGCAGGCAGGACCGTCAGCCATGCCCACACATCACCAGGAGGGGCCGGGAAAGCACAGCAGCAATGGAACACAGCCGATGTCCACCCTCTGCACAACACCCGGAAACCCAGACATGCTCACACCTAACTGGCCAACTCCACTTCTAGGCCTTTCAAAAGAAATCACCTTGATCTCAGACAAATAGATTATAACAGTGAAGAAAAATGGGAAAAACCTAAAAGCTCACTAGAAGGAATAACTAGTGAATTGTTATAGTGCAGTAGCTGTTCTTCACAAAATAGCTGAAGAGTACTTGGCAGAGCAGACATTCACTTACGTTACAGGAAAGAACGAGACCCTTGGGTTTTGCAGGGCGTGTAACAGTACCCACCCAGAAGGACGCCGGGACTGCTGGCTGCCATGCAGCTATGCAGCAACCAGCCGCAGTGGTTCTAGTCATTACTCTTCTTCCTTTTAAAAAGAATTTCTAGGGCCCTCCCTGGTGGTGCAATGGGTTGGAGCGCAGTGCTGTGAAACTAGCATGGGTTCGATCCCCAGCCAGGGAGCTGACCCACATGGCACAGCAGGCCTCTCCTGACCCACCCGCTGGTCCCCTCAGCAGTGTACTTTGTCAATATGCCTGTTCTGCTCCCTGCTCTGTCTCTTATGAATCTTTTTATTGCCCCTGCACCTCTGGCCTGTACTCAGTTCTGTATGCATAAATAAATCTTAAAAAAAAAAAAAAACAAAGTTCTAGTATTGCTACATTTTTTAAAGATTTATTTATGCATACAGAAATGGGGTACAGGCCAGAGGTGCAGCGGCGGTGAGAGGATTCACCAGAGACAAAGTGGGGAGCAGGACAGGTATATCGATTGAAATACACTGCTGAGGCTAGCAGTGAACAAGAGAGAGGAGAGGTCTGTTGCACCATGTGGTCAGCTCCCAGGTTGGGGACTGAACCCATGCTGAGGCCTTTGCAGCTAGGCTAGCTTCTGTAGTGCTGCACTTTAACCTGTTGCACCACCAGGGAGGACCCAGTATTTGCTACATTTTAACTGAAAAACACTACTTGTTACTTTTTTTAAATTTTGGTAATTCTAACAAAAAGTCTGAGTGAAAGACCTAAAGCCAACATCTCTGTTGGCAGATGAGATGAGATATTCCAGACAAGGAAAGGTCTCCTACTTCCCTTCTAGGAAGAAGAGGGCAGGGTGTCCAGCAGCAGACACCAGACTGGAGGATGCTGAGTGTCCAGTGAGTTGTGTGCCAACCTCAGGGCCATGGCCGCATAGCACCTGGCTGGAGGGGGCTGCTCAGCATGAGCCCCTGGGTCCGCAGCTCAACAACAGCTCCCACTTCTGAGGAGGCCTGAATCCGCTGACAGTGGCTTTAGCTGGCTAGAAGGCCAGGCCCCAGACAGACCCAAGTAAGCCACAGGCCAGGGGGTTGGAGTAGATGGTGGCCACTTCCCCCAGCCCTGGACAGACAACAGACATGACTGGTCACGGTGGCTGGCAAGACTGGAGGGTTCTGTGGCAAAACCAGCGAAGGACCAATACAAGCCTTTGCTTAATCCATGTGAGTCACGGCCAGCAATCTGCTTTGGGGATTCTATCTTGGATTTTCACCTCCAAGACCTAATTGATTTGAATGAGGGCTTTTTTATTCAGTGAATTTGAAGGATTTAAAGCGTTTAGTCTGTATTTCCTGTAAGACTCATTCTAAAAGCTCAAAAGAGAGTAAGAGCATGCGGCTCGCATCCCGGTTCCTTCACAGCACCTCATCACCAGTGTGGGACTGTCCCGTGGACTTGATGAGTCCTCCAAAGGGAACAAAACTGAGAATCAAGTTTGTTAAAAAGCGTATGCACTTTTTAAAGTATTTGTCTACTTGCACTTCACAGTAAATTCTAACATACTGTGACCTTGTTCTGAGATTGGGAGACTCAGTGAGGGCTCCAAGGGCAAGAGGGGAGAGCAGCCCCTCTTCACACTGGGCCCAACCAGGAGATAAGCATTAGTCTTCTCTCATAAGGGCCCCAACAGAGACAGCTCCAGGGAGAAGACAAAGAAACACTCCATCACCCATGGGGCCCAGGTGCCAAACTCCAGGGAGCCCACGGAGGCCCCAAAGTTGCTGCCCCAAGGTAGGCCACATAGGGCTGGAGACAAGGAGAGCAAGCTTCCTCGCAACACCTTGCTGGAGGAGCCCTATCAGCTTGCCTTAGGAGAAAAGAGAAAATCCGAAGGAACAGTTTTAGTGAGAAGATCAAGTAAATGGGCCAAAGACCTTCGAATAACGCGGCTCAACCCTCACCCACAACCAGAATCATATCTGGCTTCCTAGAACCTAGGAGGGACAGTCCCAAGGGCAGGTTAAAGGCCGCTGTGCACTGCAGTCAGTGCTGAGGCTCCTCTTTGAGCTGCTGTTCTCTTATTGCATGGGGAAACCATATGTTAGGGAGAACATACACTCGCAGGATAGCGGGGTCTAGTGGCAGGGCTCAGCCACCTCAAGAGGGTTTTCAATGGCCAGAACTTTTTAAAAAAATTCCAAAAGGTTCACCAAAAGCAACACAAAAGGAGGAATGACAGGGAAGCTAGAAACTTCTGATAAAAACAGTCAGGAATGACTATGGTGATGGCACATGGGTGATTTGGTGATGGGAAGCCCAGGGGGATTACAACTGAAATGGGAAAAGGCCCAAAATGATGTAAAAATAAACTATTATAGTATTTTAAAAAATAATAAAGAATTATTGGGGACTCTAGTTAAAAATTTAAAAAAGCCCATGAATGCAAACATAATTAACATAATTGTTGCAAACAGCAACATCAAAAGAGCTATAAAGGGCCTCCCTGGTGCCTAGGGATTAAGTCTCATGAAAGCCACGACCTGAGTTTGATCCTGCCCCAGAGGTGACCCTGCCCTGGAGGTGACCACATGGCACAGCAGACCTCTCCTGACCTGCCTGCTGCTCCTCTCAGCAATGGATTTCAGTAGGTCTGCCTGCTCTGCTCCCCACTCTGTCTCTGGCGAATCTTCTCACTACCCCCTACCCACTCCATCTCTGGCCTATACCCCAGAGGTCTAAGTTTTCTTTTCTTTAAAAGAAAGAAAAAAATAAAGGAATCTGTGCTCTCTCTTAAAAACTGTAAAACCTCCCTCGTGGCACAACGGGTTGAAGCACAGCACTGTGAAGCTATCACAGCCACTGCAGCACGTGTTCGACCCCCGGCCAGGGAGCTGACCCACGTGGCGTGGCAGACCGCTCCTGTCCTGCCTGCTGCTCCAGTGAGCAGAGTATTTAGTCACCCTGCCTGTTCTGCTCCCCACTCTGTCTCTGGTGAATCCTCTCACACCCTGCATCTCTGGCCTGTACCCCAATTCTGTATGAATAAATAAATCTTAAAAATACAAAACCCTCCAAGGTGTTAAAACCTGACTACAAAGAAAAACAATGAAAGGAGCTCCGCAGGCAGCCAGGAGATAAGATGGACCTGTGTCCTGGGTCAGCGACTACCTGCCCTCGGTGAAGGGATACCTGCTGGTGCCCCTTTGGAGGAGCCCAGGTAGCTTGACAGTGCTGCGAAGCAGGACCAGGCTGGGGACAGGGCACGTGTTCACATCACCAGTCCGGCCACCATAGTCTTCTGCTGGGCTTAGCTTTGAGCCAGGCTGATGCTCTTAACTCCAAATACCTCAGTTCAGTTAAAATATATTTTCAAATTTTTGAATTATAAAGTCCACAGGGATAGGACAGAGTGATCCATTCTCCACATTAAGTAGTGGTGTGGTAAAATCACCCATGCCTGGGTAGGAGGCTTTTTATCATCACTTAACAAAGGAGGGTCTAAGTTTACTCACCTGCAAATAGCCTATAGGTTCTGTGGCATTTAAAATTCTTATTTTTAACTCCAGGAGAAAGCAGTTCTGAAAGACAAAACATCAATAGCTTGAATCTATAAAAGCACTTACAGAAAGGCTGAGAGTAACAGCAGCAAGGGGTGAGCACCATCCCCTGGGTGGGCCGGGAAAATGAGGCCAAACTCCATCCCCTCATTTGCGTAAAAACGAAGCCATGAAGAACAGTAGTTGCACAATGCTAGTGAGACAACCAGCAACTTGTCTATGTTAAGAAATTATAAGCAATATACCAATAACCTCATGCTAGAACACTCTTTAAACGCAGATGTTCTTTTAAAACTTAAGAGAAAAGAGTTGTTCACTTTAAAGTGGGAAAGGGGGAAACAGTGCCCCAAAACCGAAAAATTAAAGTATATTTTATTTCACCAGGTAGAACAGCCAGGCAATTTCTGCAAGGAAAGGCTCGGCCGGCAGCTGTGCCAGGCTGGAACCCCATTCTAAGGGGTACGCTTCCTGCCAGGGTCTGCTCTGGCAGCCATTGCCGGCTCCTCCTTGGGTATCCCTCCACGAACTAACCAGGCCACCTTCCTATCCCCCCCCCCTCAAAGCACGTGAGGTGCAGCTAATACTGACAATACGCATCCCGAGCACACAATCCACGCACACGAAGTCAGTATGGGGACACATAGCCAGGCAGATGTATCTAGGCGCTGAGTGAAGTCTCTGCTCCCGGCCACGCCTCACGGAGACACCAGGCATTCTTAGCTTCAACCGCTGAGAGGCAGTTTCCTTCAAGCTGCACTTTCTCAAGACCACTTTGACTTAGGGCTTTGGTCAAAGAGTGCTGGTGCGCAGCTGAGCCCAGCGACCCAGCCGACTGACGAAGTGCCACAAACCGAACACACAAACCACTGCAGCCAGAGGCCAGGCTAACCTCACTAGCCTGTGAGCATTCTCAATTTACTAAAAAGGGCAGTTAACCAGGCTGGTGAACACTGTTTTGAGTACAGAGTATAAGTAAAATGACTGTGTACCACAATCCATTCTTAGAGGACAACAATGTTTGTTTTGATGAACAAAGAGGCCCTATTTTAGTAAGGTTATATAAGGTCTATTAAATTTGATATTTCATTTTAAGAAGTCACTTTAAGGAGAATTTTAAATGTCTACGAGAAGACATTTACAATAAAAAGACCACAAAAGAGCATCCTGAGTGTTGCCAGCACAGAGAGATGCACAGCAGCTTGCTGGCTTTGAGGGTCCTGCCACCATGAAGTTTCCCACCTACTGTGTTTTTACCTTTGCTAATTTCCAAGTCCACAGGATACTCAATATTTTTGATAAGCTTCTGGCATCCACCAGTCTTCTCGTAGACAAAGCGTTTCAGGTGCAGCACGAGAACAGGGGGCAGTTTTTCCAAAGTCACTCTTCGACTGATCTCAACCTAAGACACAGAACACAGGGTCTGTCCGGCTTCTAGAGAGGACCCCGCCTTCCATTCAAAGGCCTCTCAGAGAGACAACTCCACACTTGGGGCTGCAGGCGCTTAGGAGAATTTTAGAAAGCTACCGAGATAGGTCCCTGTGAACACAACCACAGAGCACCCTCTGGGTCCTGGGCATACCTATGAACTCCAAGTTAAGAATGTCTGCTGTGGCACTGAAAGAGGTGGCATAAAAATACAAAAGCCAACATAGTAGCACTTGGAATAATGTTATGTACTAACTTGTTTTTTAGTAATTCATGGAAAGGATAAAATTGAAGTCAATGTGTTACTCGAATCCGATGTTTTAAATAACCCTAAAGCTATCTATTAGTTTTTGTAACATTTTGAATTTTATCAATTTAGTTTGCTACTGAAATGTCTGTTCAGGTCTAATAAACTCAATTTTTATTAAGACCCAAGCTCACAAATAATACTTAATCTCTTCACTGTTCTCCACATTTATGTACTCCTTCATGCCTTCTCTATACGGGGGCAACACTGGTAAAGCACCAAGAAAGCTCTCTCGGCAAGCACCGCGGATGTGAGTAAGGGTCACTGAGGGCTTTGGACTCGGCAGGGACCATACTTGGGCTTATTAGGATTATGACTCTCCCTCACCCGTCATCCCGCTACTCCAGGGTCCAGCTGTGCAAACCACCCTCGGCTTCTCTGCATTCCTGCTGCGTCCATATTTCAGTGGCTCTGCACCCAGCCAGTACTTGCGATGAATGGAAAATGTGGCTCCCGCTCAACAATCAATACCTGAGGCAAGGCCCCGAGACCCTGGGTCCTGGCACATGCCTGAGTGTGTGCCCCTGAGTTTGTGTGTGTTGGGGGAGATGGGGGGGAACCGGCGGGGAGACACATGCTGCCTCAAGCACAGATCAGTGCCCATGGCCCAGGTTTTTTTTTTGGGGGGTGGGGGACATAGAAGAACTGGGGTGTAGACTGGAGGTGCGGAGGATGAGAGGATTTACCAGACAGTTGGGAGCAGAATAGGTAGGTTTAATGAAATACACTGCTGAGGGGAGCAGCGGGCCTGAAAGGAGAGGTCTGCTGAGCCTATGTGGGTTCCCCCGGCTGGGAATTGAACTCAGGCCACAGTGGTGAGAGCATTGAGACTTAACCCTTAGGCCACCAGGGAGGCACTAGTGGCCCAGACTTCTGACTAAACCTTTCAGGCTGGTCACTGAGCAGCTAACTTTAAATTCTTGAATGTGTATTTTAGGTCTCCAGGCAAATGAGGCACATTTCTAATCACCTAGAGAATCGCTTTTTCTTTCTAGCAAATATTTCACATATCCCTATTTTACCATGAACGTGTTCCCAGAGGAAAAAAAGTTCAGACCTCTAAATTAACATTTCAAAAAAGAAAACACACACAAACAAATCACATTACAGAAAAAATGTGTTATATGTCGACAAACTGCCCAAAGTCTTCCTTCATTAAACACCTACATCTCTGAGCATTCTCAACCTTACTGGTACTTGCTTCCACAACCATGGCCCTGGAGCAGTGCACCTCTTTCTGCTTCAACATGAAGGCTCCCCCGATGTTTTTCTCAGCTCAGTCCCCCAAACCTGTTATTTAGAATGAATTGGCTTTTGCTCTCTACCTCAACCCACACCCTCTATCCAAAGTGAACATTTAACTGCTGCAGGCACAGGAAGGGAGAAACCGGTCCTCAGAATAAGCACTAGGCAAGGCTAGAAGCCACCCAGGGACACACTGCCACAGCTCAGACACAACCATGACGTGCAACAGTGACGTGCTCGGTGCAGAACCGCAGGCTGGCACGCATGGACCTTTGGGACAGCCGGGAACTGATCTCCACCCCCACACTGAGCTATAATCTGTTCTTCTTGTTCCTTGAGACTGAAGGACACCAAGACTGATCTCTTTCAGATGAATCAAAGAGAAACAGGCATAAGAACAATTTCTGCTTGTGAAAGTCCCTGAAGATCAGTCCTCAGGAACCTCAAGAACTGTGTTCCAGAATAGCAGGAAGGTCACTGAGCCACCAGCCCATGCCAGAGGTGGTGCAGACTCCAGGTCAGGATTAGACCGCCAGAAAAATCAAAGGTAGCTCGGAACAGAAAAACCACCCAAAATACCATTACCTTCTGCTGTGTGATTCAGTGCTAATTGGAGTTATTAGGAGCATCTACTTCAACCATTTTATTAAACGGGGAACCATTTAGTTCAGGAAACTTAAGCCACTGGTTTAAGAGGGAGAACTCAATTTCACTCCTCCTCACACTAATTCTGAGCACTTCCCACACCCCAGAAGGCCTCAGCTCAAAGGCTCGAGACCAGCCGAGCACACACCTCCTGTTTGGTTTTTGTGGTATAGCCTTGGACAGACTCTCTGGCCACCAAGCTCTCCAGTGCGTCCTGGACTGTGCGTATCTTATCAGACTGGATGTCCAGCTGCAACGTGAAAAATGGCTGCAAAGTGGCAGATTCTTTTGAACTCTGCTGGTAAACCACAGACCTAGGAATGGAAAACAAAAACAACTCTGAGCAATCACTCCTTTCCACGTTCCCTTAAGATTATCCGACAGAAGAGGCATGAACACTGAAAATGAAACTATTCAATATCACCACTTTCAAAAGAGTGAATGAAGAGTCAAAAACATCCTGAATTCAAAAATAATTCTAGCTGCCTCCTTCCTCAGCATTTCTAGCCAACCCACTGGCCAGTAATTTTCTCAGTTCAAGTGCCCTAGAAGAAAACATAGCACATCCTCCACTCCATACTGTATCTGATGCAGTTAATAAAAATGACTATCCTGCCACAGCCTCAAAATGCTGTGCTTTTAATTCCTCAAAGCATCGCAGCCTAGTGTAATAAAAGAGGGAGCCCAAGGTAAACAGAAGGTGTCTAATGGCATTTTCCCACTTACAGAAGAGGAGTGGGCAGTATGGAACACCCCCCTGTAACCCCCTGAACATTCCCGAGGAGAAGCCCCACCCTAGAGAAGGGCACCAGTTCAACCTTGTTCTTAGCTGGTTGTTTTTCATTTTCCTTTTCTAAGTTTTCCTGAGTAAAATTTTTGTGTTCAGCTCATCTCTCATTTAGCCTCAGTGAGGAAACATTCCAGGAGCTCACAAAGATTCTATTTCTTTCTATTTCTGCAGTTGGAGTGACCTAGTTTGTAAACGGAACAAAATGGGTGTGGAGAAGTATTCAGACTTTCAGAGCAGATGCCATGAAAGCTGAAAGCTTGTTTGCCTGGGGTTTACTTTTCATTTGCTGCACCCCCCACCCTCACAATATAAAGAGGCATCTCCTCGATCCTGGGAGTGTGAAGACTGAGGCATGGCTGCTATTTGCTGGGTTCTACAGCAGGAAACCAGTGGAGAAATCACACAAAGTCCTCTTGGCTCAAAGGGCTTGTATGTCACCAAAGCATCTAAGGGAGAAAGTAGAAAAGGGGGCTGCTACTTTAATAAAAGCTGCTAGCTACAGAAAAGAAGTCCTTAATGACAAGAAATAATTCCTTGTTTTTATAACCTCTCAACAACCACCATTGTTAACACAGGAACCCAGAGAGTGATCCTCTGGGACCTGGCGGAGGCATTCTGGTCCAGCTTGACATGTCTCCAAGGTGGATTCTGGACTCTCCTGTTTATTCAAACATAAACTTGGGAATTCCTAGGTCTGTCGGCCTTGCCATTTTCATATCCCACTGAGGTACAAATCTGGGGCCCTGGTTACACTTGTTTGGGCCAGTTCCTCATCTCTTTCCCTCTCTCTCTCTGAGCCCCAACAGTGCTACCACCAGCTGCTGGTCTAGTGGAGTGCTCACTCACAGCCCCCCTCCAGAAAAGCCCACACCCCCAAACACTGTCTGACCAAACCACTCACAGACGTTAGTTAGGGTCTGGGCCTTCCCCACTGCACACCCGACCAAGAGGACTCCAGACTAGAAACTATGGAAACTTGCTCAGAGCCAAGGGTCCAGGATGACCTGAACAGACACATGTAGCAGCACAACTAGCACCAGCAAGGCAAGAGCCGGTCAGGAGTCAGGGTGGCTTCCTGCTCCAGCCTCACAAGAGCTGCTCAGCCTAAGATGTGTAGGGCAAAGGAGCTAAACGACCTTTTAAAAGCTAGAAAGGATATTACTTTCTTCTGGACATACAACATTTGGGACCAGGAAAGGCTGAGAGCAACTGAAGCACTATCCTGTGGCTATCCTGTGAAGTCTCACAAGAGGAGAGGGGCCGTGCTGAGCTCCTCGCAGACCATGCTGGAAAACCCGCTCAAAGCTGGGCCAGGCTTTCCTCACTCCCACATGATAGCACAGAAAGGTAGTGACAAGAAATCCAAGCTGTGATGAGCACAGTGTGACAGGATGTCATGAGCGAACAAAAGGCTACTGGCTTATAGGAACTGGGGTCCGCCCTCCACATTCCCTAACTCCACCTTGCCTGCTGCCAGTGCCTATAATTCCTGCTCTCAACAAATCCATATTTCACTACCTCATCTTCCCTGCTAATCTAGTTGTGAGCAGCAGTGCTGAGGGGTGCAGGTGGGGATGAAGTGAGGGAGCATTCAGCTCCCAAGACAGTGGGCTCCTGGGGATGGGCCCCTTTGCAAACATTTCAAGGCAAAAATTTCAAGGGAGGAAGCAGTGGAGGCTGCAGAGAAGTGTCAGATGCCCAAGAAGAGCAGGTGAATGTGAAGGCAAACCAGAGAGCCCAAACTTAGGACAAGTCTTATACCTCCCCCCTTTAGAAAACTGGCCAAATCCTGAAAACAGCAAATACTGAATTATTCCAGAAAAGCATAAACCTGATGTGTCCACCAAAAATGCCAGTGATTGGGGTCTGAACAAAATCCGCCTGGCGAGTGACTGAAGTCTTATTTCTGGGGCCCACTTGCTCCCATTCGTCCTCGCTTCCTGCGCCTTCTTCTTCCTGCTCTTCTTCATTTACTGAGTGGCTTTTGGGTCCATTGGAAATATTAAGTTCTGAAAAGTAGACAGTCTGCTTAGGCTACTATTTACAACAAAACAGCAAAAAGTAAAAGAAAATACTACACGAACCACCTACACAGACGTACCAGTTGTAAAGGCAGTTGGGTGTGCTCAGCATCAACATAGCCTAAGGCGACATGCACAGCTCTCTTGCACCCCACTCACATACAGATGACTGACAACATGGGGGTGGGGGAGCACTGGAGAGATGCAGCAATGGATTGGAGAGCACCTATTGCTTGGCGTGTGATTACAGTTCATTTTCCTAATGTGTTAAGGGGCTCTGGTCTCTGGAGAGTATCCCTATCTCCAGGACAGGCACGCTCGGCATACAGGGATAGAGGAAGCTTATCTACAAGTTAACTCTGAATCATTCAGGAAAAACGCTGCCTACACTGTTGTGTGGAGTACAAAGGAATAATGACTGAGCAGCTGCAAGCCTGGCGGTAACATGGGTCTGCACCAGTTATTCTGACAGCTATTCTGTATAGTTATTCATGCTTCTATTTAAAAGGCGCAAGGGAAAAAGCTGAGGTTGTGGGTAGATTTTGATTCAACAGTCATTATTAAGGGGAAAATAACAGCATACCCTAATGAGTAAATAAAGTGATTTCTAAAGGGCAAGTGACTGTCAAGAGGAAAAGGAACTGAATATATGAGCATGTGATGTTTATTTAAAAATAACACTTAAGAAAATATCCTCACACAACTGGTAGCAAATACACCATGACCTACTTTCATTAGTAGGGGAGAGAAGCTTCTTCAGAGTGAGCATTTCCTCATGAAGCCCATTGAGAATGAAGCCTAGGTACTCCTCAGCATCTTCCTGTCGGCCCTGAAAAAGAAGAAACAGGATTATATTCAGTCTAGAGGAAATGGGATTATATTCAGCCTAGAGGTCAGTCTAGAGGAAACGGGATTATATTCACTCTAACTGGCAACAATGCAAGGGCTGCAGGGCACACACTACCTGCCTATTCAAGCCACGCCTGCTCTTAGACAAGGTTTTTAACAAGATAGGATGTGAAAGTGTTTCCCCCAAATTCTAAGATGGGGAATGGGCTAAAGAGATGGTGAAGGAAGCTAGAGAATAGACAAAACACTTAACTGACTGACTGAAATTTCTACAATAAATACGCATTAACCTTGTAATAAAAAGGCTCAGCTGTGAGGTCAGTTTGGGTAGCTATGGGAGAAAGAACTCAAATTACATGTGAAAACTCTTGATTTAAAGATTTACCTGACCACTTTATATATACAGAGCAGCAAAAGAGACTATACGGCTACATGAGGATTCTTTTTTTTCTGTCACGTTGATTTTGTCTTATTATTGTTATTTCTCATGGTTAGCTTACATTTCACTCTTTAGAGCAAAACTCTGGATTCCAAGGATCTGATAATTCTATTTGCTGCCTCTGACAGCTTTGCTTGCGTGGCATGCAACTGGAGTCGTGGACAGCAGCCACCTGGTGTGAATGTCCAGCAAGCATGTGGAGAGGGCAGAAACTGGCACAGTCCATAAGGCAGGAAAAGAGCTGACTCAGCAGGCCTAGGGCCACTGTCTTGGACAAGCCTAAGGACTGGCCTGCCTGCTGGGCAGGTCACTCACTGGCTGGCATCCAGGAACATGGAGGAGAGTGCCACCTCTCTCAGAATGGACAGAACAAACAGTGTGGTTTACACTAAATAACAGTTTCCCTCCGTTAAGTCTGGCTGCTGCTCCATGCGAGCTGGAGGGAAACGCTGGGGCTTGGGCCCTCGTGAACTGCCCTGGCAGATCACGTGTCACAGGTACTGCCACAGCATGTCAAGCTGAAGAAGTCCATTTGCCCTGAGCTACTGCACTTAGAGGTTCCCTCAAGACACTGCCCCATCCTGGCTCTGTGCTGATTTTTGCTGTGTCCTTTGTGGTACTAAACCATAAGGAAAACAGAGTAAGTTCTTTGAATCCTTCAGGCAAAATACCCAACCAGGGGTGTTGGATGCCCCTGCTGGTCAAATCAACACGATTTCAGAAGACATTCATCCATGAACACAGCTTCTGAGCAGGATCCTAGTGGGGCTCCCCACAGGAAACCCCAACTCGCCTCTCCACCTATCTCCACTATGTGATCTCAAAAGCTTCTGAAGATGCAGCTGATGTCTTGTTTGTCTTTTAGGCACTACAGTAAGTCCCTTACATCACAGAGAGCTCTTTGGACACCTTTTAGTCCAATTCTGAATTTCTAACACTCTTTCCCATTCCTTGGGAAATTTGAATACTGAGCAAATACCAAAAGCCACTATGGGAGCCATGTGAAAAATTATGGTGGTATCCTGCCACACTGACCTGGTTATCTGCCCTCCTTCAAAACACTGCCACTTCAAGAAGACTAGACTCAACTGGGATGAAATTTTCTTGACTTGTTCTCAATCTCAATAATTTTCCTAAATAGCACTATAATTGCTTGTATGGTACCGTGAGGGGAAAAGGAGATGTCCCGTTAGCAGCCTGCTCAAATGCCTGTAGTAGCAACATGTGTGACAAAAACAGCCAAGCGGGCCCTCCCTGGTGACGCAACAGTTTAAGTACAGCACTACGATGCTAACTGCAGCCACTTCAGTAAGAATAAGCTCCCCAGCCAGGGAGGTGACCTACATGGTGCGGCAGACCTCTCCTGTCTCACCTGCTGCTCCCCTCAGCAGTGTGTTTCAATCAATCTGCCTGTTCTGCTCCCCACTGTCTCTGGTGAATCCTCTCACCCCCTGAACCTCTGGCCTACACCCCAATTCTGTATGCATAAATAAATCTTTAAAAAAAAAGGGGGGGGGGCTGAGGGAGTCACAGCTAAGGCATGAGAGGACGAGGAGGATGTGGCTCTTCAAGATGCTGCCACTGCCCCAGACCCAACACACCTCTCTCTGGAAGACAGCAGTACGGTGGCTGAGGAGCCAACTCTCCCGCTAGGCTCAGCCACTGCTAGCTCTGTGGCCTTGGACAACAACCTCACCTTCGTCGACCACTACAGGGAAACAATCACACTTCACTCTTTGGGCTAAGTGTGTCACTACGTAGACAGGATGAGCAGCACTGACTGCGCAGTGACAGACGTGCGAGTCGGCCGCAGCTCTTACAGCTGTGCCACACACTTTATATTCATCCCAGCAAGTGTTCCCCACAACCCCCACGAAGCAGAGCACTTGAAGCAGAAACCAGCAAAGGCAGCAGTTGACTGGCAATAACAGAGGAGACCCAGACCTTTTCAGACAGGCTCGACTTGATAACTGTCAGGAGTCTATAAATATACGTGGGCTCAAAGGCAGCTCCAGGGCGAATATCCCTCACGATTTTATCCCCAAGAGCTGCAAAGGAAACAGTACACAGATTTTCATACTGAAACAAACGTTTTAAAAGAATAAGAAGTAAACCCCTCTCTACCCACCCCACATCAAACAGTGACCAGCATAAGCATGCACCAAACACAGCTGCCTGGCTGCAGAACCCCAACCATTCTGTGGCCTCAGAACCTCACTTCCACTCACCTTGCCTTGGTTTTGGAGGTACTGGCATGTTAGTAAACTCATTCATTAGCCGAACACTAAACATGAGAAGAAAATAAGTTAAGCAGTACCTCTTACAAAAAGACACTTTTACTGAAGAGCTTTGGTGGCTACATAGAATACTAATATGAAGATAGTAATTTTGAGGTAAGCAACGCTATCTATCTATAATTGCTAGAATGTTTTTAAACCTCTCCTGTATAAATGTTTAACATATTTTAATGCTATAATTTATTCAACTGATCTAAAGAACACAGATAATTTCATTTCTGGTTTACTTTCATTAAAATTATGAGCCATAAATTTAAAAATAATAATAATAATGAAGAATCCTAGCGTTCATCCACTGGAAATCAAGAATTTTGCTAGATTCTTCCAGTTATCAGAGAGGAAAACCCCACCTCCATGACCCATCTTCAAACCCTTACTTACAAGCTATCTATCATGGGTGTTGACGTACACGGCCTTTGCACTTTTGAATACAGAGGAATGAACTTCATTAGGTGATACATCGGAGGACAAGCAACCAATGCTTGCAGTGTCTAATTATTAGCAGTAAGAAAGTGTAAAGGAAGTGAAACACTCCAAATTTTCAAACGGCACATTCAACTTACAAGCACACAAACTCTAAGGGCCCTGGAAGGCTTAGACTTGTAAACACAAAAAGGAATAAACCAAGTCATTCCTGGGATAATCGCTCGCGATATCCATTGACGGGTTTGCCAAGCAATCAGCAGTATATCTACAGGAACCTGATTCAACCAAGATAAGTCAAATTAATGCCAGCAGAAATCCAGGCTGAGAGAGGTCATGCTGCCCTGTTATTCAGGACCACTTTAATGAGAAGCAAACGTGCCTGAATCTGTCACTCATGGAGCAACAAGTCTTTTTCTGGCAGGGGGGGGTCGGGAAAAATCCTGTTTACAAGCAAGGCAGGCAGATTATGTAAGCAACTGAGTTTCTGGATTCAAAATTGAGGCTGGCTGCCGTGGGTGCTGAACCAAGGGCACGCAGCCGCAGTGGGAAGCCGGGCAGGCGGGCCTGGGTGGCACCAGAGAAGGATACAGCGTTGATGTAGCACCAGTTTCCCTTGTTGATGAGCCCACGTGGTTGCAGTGACACTGGCTTATGTACCAGGGTGACATTTTCCAGTAACTCTGCAAGAGGGAGGAAGCAGTTAAAAAGTTAATGTCTCTAGTGAACAACAGTGAAGTAAATCTGTATGCCCTCCTCACGGCAGGTGCTACAAATCCATCACTAAGGCACAGATCCAAGAAAAGACACTGTGCTTAAAGCTTCATTCATTTGACATCATGGACTTCATTTAATGATCAAAATGCTTTAAAAATGGTTTATCTTATCCACAGTCTCAATTAATGTTCTGTGAAAACAATGTAAGCTCTTCAAATTACTGCTCTGGAACAAACTGACAATATCCAGTATTATGACAATGTCTAGTATTTCTAAAAACAGAGAATATAAAGACAAAATGTTTTTCTTAAAATGCTTGCCTTCATATTGTTCAAATGAAACAAAATATTTAATCAGTTTAAAAAAAAAATGGTTTCCCCCAACACCGTGATTTACTTATCCTCCTCCTGTGAGATACAACCTTGGGGCAGAACTCTCTATTCTAGTAGAGAGGAAACCAGTTCTGAGAAGGCCTCCTCCCACTGACACTTTTCTTCCCACAGAGGCCCATGCACTGCTTCCGTGCATAGCCTAAGCCTTGGCCAGGTCTGATCCCTATTGAGCCCCCAACATATTACCAAGGGTGAGGACATTCCTTCTGGGGACAGCTGTGCGCAAACCCAGGAGTGCTTTTCATCAGAAGGTCAAGGGAGGGTCTGCTCTGTACGTGGGACTTCCTTGTTCCATTCAGAGACCAGCCTTTCACGCTCATACCCACCCTTCTGCAGGATCTTCAGGTAGCAGCAGTCACCTCGCTGCAATGCCTTTCTACAGTCTCACTTTAAAACCACATACAATGTCCCCAGGTCCCCTGTCCTTGCTGGAACTTTCTATCCAGTGACCGCCATCATTTGGGACCTTCTCCACCTGGCCAGCGTCCCATGCCTTACTCTGCTGCTTGTGTGGCTGCATCTGATCTTCAGCCCTGCAGGAACTCACCGCTTCCCTTGAGGCTCAGCAAGCTGAACCAAGAGTCACACAGGAGCGAGAAAGGGCATGCCCTGCCTTCACCCATATATACTAGGAATGAAAACCAAGTGAGCACCCTGATGACATCAAGACCAACTGAAGGCATCACAAAAAATGAAAGCCTCCCCTTTCTAGAGTAACTGGATGGCTCACTCACATCCACGTTGCTATGAAGTTCCACACGGCTGAGGCAGAGCTGCTCTCCGCTCTCCTCCCAGGTAAGCCATGAGTTTGGGGAAGAGAGGGGGTTAAAAATGGGACCGCCAGCCCAGAGACCCTGGCACAGCTGCTGCCAGTCACACCAGGACCTTTACCTGCAGATGCTTGTTGTTCCCAGACCCCTGCAGACACTGTTCTCAGCCACACTTGATAGCTTTAAGGAAACAAGGGACTAGAGGGGCAGTAATTGGGGGAGTCACCAGACTGCACTGACAGCAAAGCCCAAGTGCAGCCTCTCAATAGAAGGCCCTGCTTTAAAAGTCTTTTCCTCTAAGGCTTCAAATGTTGCCTCCCACCACCCAGGCTTAAGCTCTGCTTCCAACAGATTTCCCCACTTGCCCCAGGATCCCAACACATTTCCAGTGTGTGCCACAAAAAAGCAATTACTTAATATAATTACAACAACTGCATTTTCAAATAAGCACCAACTCCCACTTCCCAATGAACTCTTAACACGATACCGTTGAATCTTTGTTTCAGTAGTTTTAGATCTAAAAACAAGAATCCTCTTTTTATACAACTCTAAGACCCCAAATCAACTGCCTCCTGGCCTCAGGGACGTTGGTGAAGTTGGTGAAGTTCGCTAAGCCTGCGGGGCAATAGGCCCTGGAAGCACAGCAACAGGATCCATAGCCGGAAGCAGTGTGTGCACCAGTCCAGGTCGGGTGCCCGCGCCAAGCAAGTACTGCAGGAACAAGAGGGGCCAGAGCACATGGCTACAACACAGGCCGTGTCTGGCTGGGAGGGGTGTCATCCATCGCGAAAGGCGCACAACAGGAGAAATGGTTTGTCTCGATGCTGATGCCAAGTGCCCAGACCACTGCAGCCATCGGAGTCCTTGTGCTCGCAGGACAGCTGGCAGCAGGCCCCTGCACACACCAGCAGCATGTGAGCATCTGCAGCTCAGCTGGAACAGGATTCTGACAGTACACACAGCAGGAGGGGTACCAGACACATGGAGCCCAAACACAGCTAACGGGAAGTGGGAAGAGCCCCTGACATTCATTAGTTCAGGCACAGGCAGCTCTGGGCCTCAAGAAGGGAAGTGAGAGGAGACAGCACAGCAGCAAGCCGTCGAGAAGCCTGGCTGAGGAGTACGGCAGATCAGAGTCACTGAGGGCTGACAGAATTATAGGAGGAAGCTAGAAAGGGGCAGCCTCACCTAGGCTGATGATCTGGTAGGCTGGGGGTAAGGGCAGAGATGGGGGGTGGGAGGGCAGCAGGAAATTCATTCCTATAAAAGGGACAACAGAGGAAAGGGAAAAAATGATCTGTGTAAGGCATACAGCTTCTAGCTGAAACTTCTCTTCCAAGTCATCATCATTTTATAGATTCAAATATACCTGAATTCCTATCTTGCTAGACTATGAAGTATGACAAGGCTAACTCCATTCTCAAAGAGGAAGCAGATACAAAAATGCCCCAAACCCAACAGCCCAAGCTCCACTAGACCATGCATCTCTTCAAGGTCCTCAGTGAGCCCAGCAAAATCTGCACACCATGAGTAAGTTCACCCCCACAGACTCAGAGAATACATCTAATGTCATATACCCCAACTGCTGGCTAGCTTCTTTCCAGCACTGACCTGCAAACACATACAGGTTGAAACCTTTAGTTTCTCTGTCAACCATTCCCTGAGTCAAAGCCAGCTTGGCTGTGACCTCTGGCTGACTAAAATTTTACAGAATAGTCAATTAACAGGTGCGTCCACAAGTCTAAGTTCTAGCCCTTCACCACCACCTAGTGGCTGTTTCAATAGCTGCAAGTAATGACACATTTGGTCAAGCAGCAGTTCCTACAAAATTAAAAAAGCAAATATACACACTGGAAACACAAAATACAACCACAGGAGATATGAACAGTTAGTAGAGAACAGACTGAATTCACTTCCCTTGAAGAAGAACTCTCTAAAAAGGTCCTCTGACACAATATGCTTGTAGGTCAAAAAAAAGTTTTCAGACTTGGAAAAAACTGCTAGTATTGCAGATAAAAAATGTGGCAATCTTCCACAACCTAAAATGTTTCGGCCCTCCCTGGTGGTGCAGGGGTTAAAGACACAGCACTATCAAGCTAACACCAGCCATTGCAGCACAAATTTGATCCCCAGCCCACCAAGGAGCTGACCCACATGGTGCCAGCAGACCTCTCCTGTCTGGTCCACTGCTCCCCTCAGCAGTGTATTTCAGTACATGTGTCTGTTTTGCTTCCCATTCTGTCTATGGTGATTTGGCTCACTCCCCACACCTCTGGCCTGTACCCCCAGTTTTTGTATGTATAAATAAACCTTTTAAAAATAATAATAGTAATAAAATACAATGTCATTCTGTTGTGAGGTTTCTTCCAATGATCCTATACACTACTCTCTGGAGCTGAGGCCACCAGAGCTACTATAAGTTAGCCTCACGTCTCTCCCCAGGATAGGAAACACATTAAAGACAAGACTCTCACGCTGCCAACAGGCCTCCTCATCCATAGGACCAGCCTGCTTCCACCCTTCCCCTTTGGTGACCTTGGACCTCATCTCCTGCCCCCAAACCCCTGTGGGAAATGATTTATGACTTACTGTTCACTCCTTATCAAATTGGTCAGAACACTCGAGGCTAGGCCCGCCGGTAATTACTCACTGGCCTCGACTGTGGGTGGCATACTCTAAGTACTGATTACACTGAGGTGAGGGGGAATTGAACATGTGGAGGCAAACAGCTCTACTCATGTTTGCTGGAAATCACCAGCAGACTTTACAGGTCGATTCAACACAGTCACAAAGCCTACAGGAGCCCCCTGGGGAGCAGACGACTCAGGGCAGGGCCCAGAAGACAGGGTTCACTCCCTAGCTCTACTACTTCATCCAGCATGCCACCTGGGCATACCGCTCTACTCCCGCCTGCAAATGCAACAACTGTGAGGCTAAGTGATAGCAAAGTAACTGCAGGGAAGCCCAGCAGCATGACCAGCTCATTACCAACACTGTTGGCCACAAGAGAAAATCAAGAGCTAATGGAGGTGGGAAGAAGAGGGAAAAGGAAATGACTTTATGGGGAGAGTCTGAAAGAACCAACCACTTTCAGAAAAATTACGTTTCTAAAATTAAGTTTTAGACATTTTGTGATTATTAAGTTCCATTTCAAACAAAAAGGCTATAAAAAATTAACTATCTTATTGTCTAGGGTTTTCTCTTAAAAACCAAGTGGTGAGGGAGGAAAGCAAAAAACACCCCAAATACCCAAACAAGTAGAGGTGTAGTGTGTCTCTAGGTTTAGTGACCTCTGTGACCATGGAGCGCTGGACCACACACCAGCAGCAGCGCAGGCAGGCACCGCTCAGCTACCACGTCCTGTTAAAGGCAATTTATTGCTAGAATTCATAAGTCAATTATTTATGACTTGCAACCAATTAATTAATACCAATATTAATTAATACTCCTTTTGATTTTTTGGTATCACTCTTGGTTCTGTTAATTAAATTCACCATGTCCATTCCCAGCCTTAAATTCATGATTATTCATATCTAATTAGAGTCATAAGAACCAGAACCAGGGCAGGCAGCCACCAAGGAGAGAGAAACTGTAAACTATCCGCATGTCTGAGCCATCACCGTCGGTCATCTATTTTCACTTAGGGCAAATAATCGCAAGCTGACTGTAATGACCACCTTTCCCCACAAGGCCTTTTGCTTCACCATTGTTGGCACCGCTCAGACCCACGGGGCTAGAAGCTGTAGACGTGCCCCCCATCCACCCTGCATACACGAGCCAGGGGCGCGGCCCGGAAGAGTATCCATGCCAGAAGGACTCCCTATCACTTCTGAAAAAGCTCAAAGATCAAGAGGCTGAATGAACATTCAACTTTCTGATGGAATTTGCTGATAGACAGGAAAACTGGGTGCTGAATATCCTTTCCTGTATTTCAAGACAGACAGATCAATAGTAGTTCACATGTTGCCACAAGCCATCAAACACGATGGCTTCTAAACTACCAGGGCAAACTTGGAAGTCAATGTCAGCTATGATTATTTTTACATACATTATATGCAGCAAATCTCCATTTAAGTGTCATATTACCATGTTAACCCCATGCAAATACTAGGTGCTGACTTTCAGGGACTCTTTGGTCCTATAATCAACACTTTATCGTCTTCCTAACTGTCCAGAACATTATCCAAATGCCTTTCTTTTCCTCACTTGGAAGAGTACATTTGATCTTGGTTACCTGATCTGGTCAAGGACAGCAAAGTGACAGAAATCCACCACTATACACTGGCTATAAAATCACCTTAGCTTTCACAAGTGGAGGGGTCACAAATTAGTTCTACAAAATAGACACAAATATTAAGCCAGGACATTATACATATCGAATTAAGTGTGGACTTCTCTCTCAACCCACACCAGTGAATTTTTGCAAACAGGTGCTCTTAGCTCATGCCAGACCCCCACTAACTTTAGAGAACTTCAGAGGAAATGTAAAATATTTGAGAAATCATTTCCCAAGGGAAAAACGTATAAATATGATCTATAAACCACCAAAACAAGGTTCAATCATAGAATACATTTTTGTTTACATTTAAAGTAAATAGGCACATGGGGTTTCCCTCACAAATGAACTGATTTCACTTGTGATGACCTTCTTGCTGCTCTCTCCAGCAATAATTTTAGGAATAAAACCACTGTGCAAAACCATGTATTAAACAAGTCCTGACTAAAAGTCGTAATAAATGCTATTACCAGCTACACTTCAATTTCCTCATAGAACAACTTTTTGAGCTCAGACTTCAGTTTACCTAATTCTCACTTACCAGAACTTTAACTCACTTTATTTGGGCACTTGGCTTGTCTCTCTCCTTGCCCACCATTATTTACTCTTCTTTAAAATAAAATACACTAACACATAATTTTAAAAAGTAAGACACAATATACAAAACAGCTGTATTAAAAAGCATTTGACAGAATACAGACTTGGAGTATGACAGTGTTCCTTATAAAATATCCAGGAAAAGTTGACCATTCATGAAGAGAGTATGTTTAATTCAAAGCACCCGCTGCTCACTCTCGACCACGTGTGCTAACGGAGGGAGCCGGTGCACAGATCACCAGTGTCATTGGTCTGTCCACTGACAGCTGAACATGGGTATTGCTTAAAGTTTTGCAACCATTTTCAATTAGAAGCTATTCAGGTTTTTTTCTTATTCTCACCAGCTGGCTCAGCTATTTCTACTGGAAAATGGAAATACACCCTCCCTGACACATTGACTCCCTCCAGCCCTTTTTTGTTTAGATTCATACTTCCTACAGGATTGGGGATGTATTTATTTGTTTCAGCATAAATGCTCTCTTCCTATCTCCTTAAATAAGAGTTTACAGTTAAGAAGAAACAGCCAGTAGTAGAGCAACGTGTCAACAACATCTACACCATGAAGTTGGCGCTGCGCCGAGGGGAATGCAGAGCCCCTGGAGTCACAGGCACTGGGCCCAAGCAGTCAGGAGCCGGAGGCCAGTCATTCTTTGCTCACAGCAGTCTCCCTTCCCAAAGTGGTATTTCACTTGTGCTCATTCAAAATTTAGTGTGTATCTATTAAACACAGGCTTAATGATAGCACCAGTGGTCTAGAAATGTAAACATCCAAATAAAGAGCCCTGAGATCAAAAAATGGCTGTGGGTATTATTCAAAGAATTCAAAAAGAAAGGTACTGACCTCTGAACTGTTTCCTTCTCCCTCTTCCCCAAAAGTTGATGACAAACATAAAAAGGACTCTCCTCGTAGAGCCGGTTAGACTCCAGTGCAAGTCAGGTTCTGTGACACCCACAGCCAACAGCTCTTCGAAGGGAGCGAGAACTGCACGTCTAACGCAGTTTCCAGAGGGGGCTGCACCAGGAGTCGCTCCAGTCACAGGAGTTAGTGTAGTGGGTCTGACTCGAACAAACTGAGTGTGTTACATTGTTTTTAGTAAAGCAAATACCCATGTGGGAGAATATGACAGGGGAGGCCAGGAAGGGAATCTAACACCACCTTCTAACTACTACCCCTGTACTATTTTACAGGAATACTGAAAACTGTCCACAATTACACCATCTATTTCTAAGTTTTAACTCAAAAGAAAGAAGTGTTTTAAAAGGAATTACACCTGTTCAAATAATTTAAACACCTTTATGACAGGACTAGGCACAGCCAGACGGAGAAGCCTGCTGAGGAAGGAGGACCGCTGTGTCAAGGCAGGAATAGCTCCTCGGGTGACGCAGGCGCTGCCTCCCGGGCCGGCGGCCCACAGCGTGCCCTTACAAGGCAGGCCCACGTGCTTGGCATGTGTGTATTAGCAACACAGCAACCTTCACAGTAACATGACCACAGAGTTTTAAAACAAAGCCATTCTTATTTTAAATAAAGATAGCAAAAAATTCCCAGAAATGGAAGTTTTGTCCTTGTGACATAATTTTTAAGATGAAAAGTGTAATTACAAACTTTCACAGCATTGAATTCACACACATTTTAAAATGTATACTGCCATGCAATTCTCATTGGAAATTCTAAAGACTTGAAGGTTAAATAAAAAGAAACTTGACTTTAAAATCTACATAGAGGCCTCTACTATGTTCTCAAAGTTATAGTGGTCCCCTGGCTTTTAAAAGATTAAAAAATACATGTGAAATGATGACTGGCCAATCACTTATCTTTTTACTTTTTTAAAAAATCTCATTTTTTTGGCCCTCCCTGGTGGCACAGCGGGTTAAAGCACAGCACTGAGAATCTAAAGCTGCTTCCATGAGTTCGATTCCTGCCTGCCCCGGAGGTGACCACATGGTGTGGCAGACCTCTCCTGACCCGCCCGCTGCTCCCCTCAGCAGTGTACTTCATCGATCTGCCTGTTCTGTTCCCTGCTCTGTCTCTGGTGAAGCCTCTCACCGCCCCTGAGCCTCTGGCCTGTACCCCAGTTCTGTATGCACAAATAAATAAATCTTTAAAAAAAAAAATCTCATTTTTAATGGAACTCCAGTCACCAAGATTATTCAAAACATTGTATCTTTCATAAGAAATAAAAGACTTTGTTTTTAACATCAACTGCCATCATCCCACTACCATAAAAAGTGCTTATATTTGATGGCATCTGACTTTTCATGAAAGCTGGTGCATCAGCAGCTTATCCTGCAGCATGCTCATGGTGAATACTATTGGGGCTCCACAGGCTAGATAAGAAAACACTGCAGGAACCTGAATGAGACAGTCTGTTCCAATCACTAACCAGCAAGAGCCTGAAGAACGGGCTACAAGTCCTGGAAACAAGCTTAGCTAAGTTTGAGGTTGAGACAAGCCACTCCCCATGCTTCGACCTGCTGCAACATGAAACACAGCTTTGAATTGTGCAACCTTCCGCTGTTATTGTGAGTTGGCTCCTTAACTTTTCTTTTCCTGTTAAGAGCTGACTTAGTGCACCAAAACATAATAAAATCTACTTACTCAATCCAAAATAAGCATCAAGAAGAACCAACCCAAGATGCTTTATCTTAAGAATAGAGAAAAGCAGTGTGAAGTGAGAGCACATCAAGGGTGATAGCAAAATATGAGACAGCTATTACAGGCAGCACAGGCCCACTGCAGAGTCCAACAATGGAGCTGAATTACTTGATCAAAGGCAAGAAATAGAAATAGTTTGTCAACAGGAAAGGAATGTGAATAGACATGTACTTTTCAGGTTTAAGGTACGACACATGCCTTCCCATTTTGATTACATTATTGTCTAACTTTCAGATTACAGTTAAGGCACAGGCCTGTTCTAGAAACTCCTATTAACACACAGATCATCTACTTTTGCTTTGCATAGAAGCCTAGACCATCTCAAAAACCTATTCAACAGGTGATGAAATTTGCCCCCATCTTCACTTTTGACCTGCACCTTTTGAACTATACCTGCGATCTTTATGGCTACAGGATCCTCTGAAACTGGAACAAGCCCTTCTTTGACTTCAACCTGCTTTTCAGGGACCATGGGAGAAGTGGCAGGAGGGGGATATTTAGTTTCCACAGAAGCCACCGGCAAGGAGGAAGCAGGCTTAGAATCATGAAACAGACTGGCCCAAGACTTGGCAGGCTGACTGCCAGGCAGGGTGCCTGCAGAGGAGACCTGGGGGTCAGCAGGAGAGCACGAGCTGTCGGCTTTCACCAGGTCTGAGTCCATGCTCTCCACAGGGTGCGACACCACCCCATTGGCAGCTGAGCCCTGGCCCGAGGATTCAAGTATTTGTCCGTTAGAAACTCCAAGGTTTTCGGTTGTATCGGTCCCAACACAAGGCTGAGTCACAGCTGTCCTCAACAGGCTGTCCCCGCCAGCCTCTGCAGGGAGGCAGGATTGTTCACAGTCAGCCCTGTGGCAGCCCTCAGGCTGCCCTGCAGTCCTGGTGCCACCATCAAGGGCTCCGGGGAAAGAACCACCAGGCACAGTGTCACTGACGAAGCCCGTGGAGTCCTGAGGGCTGCTACAAGTTCTGGGGGACACCGACGGGGGCATGTGGTGCATCATTTCCACATCCTCTGTGCCTGTGCTGTTCGGGACTGCTGGATTGGCATGACCATTGACCAGAGCCTCCGTGGAAACACCACCCTCGCCGCCATCTTTCAAGTAACTGTAATACCCAGGCGGGCGCTTCTTCTTCTTTTTACGCTCCCTTTGTCCCAGACCCCCTGAAACACCGTCATTTTCCAGCACATCCCCCTCAGCACTAGATCCGCCGTCCAACACCAGGTTGGAATGTGGGTACTGGCAGTCCACGGAGCTGCAGTTCACGCCTTTATCTACGTCAGCAGCAGTCTTTTTGGAAGTTGTGCAACTAAGAATAAATTCAGGGGCCTGAGGATTCAATGTGCTTGAAATACTGTAGTTGGGCGTTCTTGATAAAGTGTCGTTGGGGCCAATTACTTCATTAACACCAAACTCAATTCTCTGGTATTCTGGTCCTGGACAGAAAGAAAGTGGTCAGTAAGCATCCCGTTAGTTAAGAACAGACCTACACAGATAATAAAAGCATTATTTCTTCTTGAAAACTGAAGCCTTTAAAAAATTCACAACTAACTTAAGAGTCTTAAAAGCCAATGCTACATATATACCTTCTTTAATTGGTGCTATTTCATAATTCAAAAAGAATTCACTATACCGAAGTTAATCTCCTCTGTAAATTATGTCTCCTGACCTTCTGGAAGTCTGAAAATGGCTTTGCATGTATCTAACTGTCCACTGGAGACACACATGCAATTTACCCTCATGAGTGGTAAAGGCACTTTCACAAACCAGAATACAACATGAGGACTCGGAATTCTTAAAAATCTCTTTGGAACAGTCAGTATTCTCCCTAACTGAGAACAATCTGCATTCCATCTATTCTAAGATATATTATTTTTTCATAGTTCACACTTCTGATATTAGGTTGAGTTTTAGAATCAACTGTGTCTGTTGACAGTGTCATCTTGTATATGATGAAATAGCTACAAATTCTGAACAATATATCCCTTATATTTTATTTCATATAACACTGAAGGGCTCTCCAAGCTTAGCATGTGCTTCAACTAAAAAAAAAAAATTTTTTTTAAACCAGAAAGAAGAATCATGTGGTTTACAGAAAACAGAATATATTTGATAGGTTTAAAAAAAAAAAAAAAAGCCCCACAAGAGTTAGTTATGTGCAAGTTAGTGGGAGGGCAGGGGCCTCCTGTTTTGATATCCCAGTCCATAAGGTGGGAGCGGCACACTCCTACCCAACAACAGTTTCCGGAAAAAAAGAATACTGCTGATGACCACAGCTACCAGCAAGTTTACGTTTAAAACCAACAATGTGACAATTTAAATCCATTGGTTATTGAGTACTGATAAAAAATAGTAACTTTTCTTCCTTTTGTTGAAAACAATCACTAAAGAGAAATTAATTTATTATAACACCTAGAGATGGTGAACCATCATTTTGATTCCAGGTACCATCTAGTCCACGATGTTCTGAGGCCACGATGCTGCTATGTGAATTGAAATTATGCTCCTGAAGAGTGTGCATGCTCATGGCAAGGCTGTCCTTTGGAGACTTTGCTGGACATTATGAAATTATGCTAAAAATTAGTCTGGCATGCTGCTTGGGTGAGGTTTTTATTATTTATTATTTTATTATTATTATACAGTGTTCTGAATCTCAATTCTTAACATCTTATATCATAAAACATTCCAGAATGTGACAGGACATTAATGGAACCATTTCAACATCGACAGCTAGTAGCAAAATATTTACTCAGCACAGTGTCTGATCACATGCCGGCAGATTTTCCACCCAAAACAGTTCCTCCCCCCCTGCAGGAACACTCCTCATGATACAGGTAGACATCTCTGTGCATGTGCACACTGCAGGGTGAAGAAGGCCAAAGCAAAGGCTGAAGTGTCAGGCTGGAGAAGAGGAAGAAGGCCTGACCAAACCCAGGGGGAAGAGGAGCTCACACACAGGCCCTGCAGGCAGTGGGCTTGTTGGGAGGAGGAGAACCAATGTTTTCTTTCTCAACTGCTCGCTGTCACCTCTGCAGAGCAGTGGCAGGATCCTGGACAGAGCCCTGAGTACTGCAATCTGAGAATCACAGCAGCCACCTCAGCTGATTTTGCTGATCTTATGAAGGAGTTACTAATTTTTAGGGGTAGGCACCTGCTCCATGGAGTTACTTTTATCAGGAAAGCGAACTCCCAAGACTGAAGAAGAGAGTGTAAAGGGAAGGTTTACAGAATGCATGCTTCCAGTCACAGAAAACAGTGACCACTATACAGAGGTCAGTGGAACTGGAAGGATAACTGGATAGGGGCAGAGGTGGGTAACAAGCTATTTCAAGCTTTAGAAACTGACTAAACCACACAAAGGTCTGTCTGCAAGGCATGCCGTGATGGGAGGCCTTGGCAAGGAGCTTACTGTAGCAGGTGGGAGTAGGAGGGAGAATAAAGCATTTGTCCAAAAACCATACAAAGCACTCACAACATTACAGATATTACAATGCACAGCCAGTAAGCACAGAACTAAGTTTTCTGCCACTCAAAGGTAGCGTCAGTTAGACAGGAGCATGTTGGCATGGGGGGCAGGCACTGCAGAAACCTCTAAGGAACTGGAGAGCAGCAGCTTCAGGGCTTTAGGCTCATTTGTCACTACAGTGGAAAGGTGGTGAGAACCTGCAGTGACTATGGCCAAACAGAAGATGGACTTGAGAAAAGAGGGGACAGTGGAAAAGGGGCACTACAGGGGTATGTGAACAGGAACCACAGACTGGCAGGAAAGGAATGTGAGAGAAGAGGAGAGGCCCATCTCCAGCAGCTACCTGAGGGAAGGAGGTGAGGTCATGGGCCAACCAGAAGGCAAGAAACAAGCAGAAGGGGACGCAGCCCCACCCTGAGCACAGAGGAGACCTGGGCTGCTCGCTCAGCAGGTGTGAAGCACAGGAGATACATGCCACCAACTCAGGGTTGAGCAGCTTCACAGCCATGGGGCCTCCTGCTTCACTGACCAGCCTACGTCCATCAGTAGAATTGCCTTTTCCTGCTTGGGTGCCTACATCACTGTTTCTTATACACTATTAATAATTGTAGACAGAATCATTTTCTGATTTTACTCTACATAGCTAAAAGTCTTCATTTTATGACTAAAATCCCTTTCACAGATCTGACCAGGCTAAGCAAATAGGAAACCAAATTCTAGGAACCAAAGAAAAGACTCAGCTTTTGGCCTCTGAGGTTTGTATTGTGATACAAGTGGAAACTATCTGACAGACAGAGCTAACCTGTGCAATGGCAGCCTGCACCCACTTCAGCTCCGCTGTATTTCAACACTATACCTTAATGAAAATTGGTACATCTCGGGATTCACCGTCTCTAATATCAGCTCTAGTCTGTGCAGAACCAAATAAATTAACAGGCCAAGGGCTGAAAAGGTTACCTCAAAATCTAAGAGCACAAGCATGGGATATGACCTCAAGCTGCAGGACAGATAAGAATTGCCATTGGACCTCACGGAGGGCATGGCCCAGAGCAGTGCCCAATCCTGACACTCACTGAACCAACTTCTATGGAGAGCCTGTGCTCTAAGCCATGGACTCATGCCACTGAGAACTGTTAAGAAAAACAGAATTCAGCAACCATTTTCCTAACTACGTCTGGACCTGACTCTCTGAAGCACAGAATGAGCTGAAATTCATTGGTCAGTAGTTTGGAGATGAAATCTGCTATCATTTACAGCAAAAACATCAAAGCATAAGGAAAGGTGTATTCTGAAAGTGCAACTAGCAAAGTGGTGTTTCCAGGTAGCCTGCCCACACAACTCCTTCAGCAGAGGTTTGCTCAGAGAGACGGAAAATGAGCTCACCATCAAGTAGTTCATCCACAGACTGTGCGCCACACACCACGGTCCCATTGTATGGAGGAAGCTGGAGGGAATCAGAAAGCAATTTTAGTTCAATCTCATATGTGCTATTTCATTAACGCAATGCTTCATTAGAACTCTTCACCCATGCAACTTCTTCTCATGACACTATGTTTACCAAAACAGCTCGTAAGAGTGCCAGCAAATGAAACTATCTTAACTTTAGGGAAAGAACACCACAAATGCTTTTATGTACTTACTGTTAATTAAACATCCAACAATGGTGCAAAAAATGGACTGCAGTGGACATGCAACTCAGATACAGTAAATGCTTATGCTATCCCCCCGTATCAAAGGATGTTACAGATTGCCCATAAGTGCCACAGTCTCTGCTCTTATGGTTCCACTAGTTACGGGCTCTTAGTGACATCTGCACTTCTGTTGACAGCCACCACATGCCAGCAGTAGCAGGGACCAGGGCCAGGCCCACTGGCAGAGCAGAGCAGGCCTGATGGGACAAGAAAGTCCAGCAACCATGGCTTCTTACCAAATGGTGCCTTAAATAACTGAATTGAAGGCTAAAGAGCGCTTTCTGTGTTTGGAAAAAAGAAAGCAAGACAGATTTCTTTGTAAAAAGGTAAGAAAGAGTTAGAACCATCCTAGACTTTTCTTCCTGTCATTCTATAATACTGTAGAAAGGTTCAAGTGGATCTGTCTGAGATGAGAAAGTGTAAGATGGGAAGGAGAAAGGTAAGTAGCCAATTACTACCCAAGACAGAACAAAAGAACAGAACAATTACAACATAACAGATTTCTCCCTCAGCTCACCTTAGTACACAGAGCACTATGCTAGGGCTCTGGAGTCAGCCAGGGTCAGAGGCATGGCCATGGCAGTATGAAATATATCACTTAGTTGCTTTCTGCAGCTGACTTCTCCAAGTAATTGTAGCAAGTCAACTCAACCATCCCAGACATATTGTGGCCAAGGGACCCAGGAAGTTCTCTCCCAAGTGAACTAACCAATGAGAATCCAAGAACACAGTTGACTCCAAAACAACTGAAAGCTTTCAGAACTTGAGGTGAATTCTGTTCCCAGCATGTGGGAGCACCCCCAAACTCACATTGACAGGAAAAAGAAAATCTTCTGTGTGCTGACTTGCAGTCAGACCACTGCACACGTCATTTACACACCTGCAGGGACTGCTGGCCCAACGCACAGAGCTGATGGAGCGCCTGGGGAAGACATGACGCAGCTTCAGGACCTTCTGCAGTCACAAAGCCTTCTCCTTTCCATAAATGGCATGAGAGTGCCCCCTGGTGTTGACAGCTATACTTTTAAAGTGCTAAAAGTAGGGTTTGGGTTTGTTTTTAATCACTGTGATTTAAAAATCTATTAAGTTCTAAAATCAAAACAAAAACCTTCCACCACTCAAAATTATGAACCTTCTTATATATACCTGTAATATCTTTTCTACCTTAGACCCTCATTGTTAGCTCTGCTGTACCTTTTCTTTTTTACCTTCTTTTCCATTAGCTCTGTTCATTCACAGGGAAACAAAATCCCTCAATAAAATTTCCTTATGAAGGTCTTCTACAAACAGTATTGCCAATTTGATATACTAGTTAAATAGGGCTTCCTTTAAGAAATTAAGTAAATGGGGTCCTCCCTGGGAGTGCAATGGGTTCAAGTGCAGCACCATGAAGCAGCTTGCTGCAGGCACCTCATCACAAGTTCCACCTCGGGCCGGGAGCTGACCCATGAGCTAATCCACACTGCTGACCTACACTGCACGGCAGACCTCTCCTGACCCACCCGCTGCTTCCCTCAGCAGTGTACTTTGTCGATCTGCCTGTTCTGTTCCCCACTCTGCCTCTGGTGAAGCCTCTCACTGCCCCTGAGCCTCTGGCCAGTACCCTAGTTCTGTATACACAAATAAATAAATCTTAAAAAAACAAAAAAATCTAGTCCTAGGCAGGGGTAGAGGCATGATCTGACAACAGAGCACCCACCAGTAAAACCTCAACTATCCCAGACATATTGTGTCTTGGATTCTCATTGTGTTGGATTTCACTATTGTGTTGAAAGTACTTTTGTTTGACTTCCTAATCTGCTAAAATCGTAACTAAGGATTTACTGGGTACCTTTCCTTCCACAAACCCCCACCTATCCTGAACATAACCGTGAATTGAGCATAATAAATACAGAGTAACATTACAAAAGTGTTCAAAGTTCCCTCTTGCAAAGCAGAAACATAAACACATACAAACACAAACTCAGCAGTGCAAAAACCTGCAGTCCAGTTACATTAGATACATAAAATGATACCAACTTAGTCTGAAAATAGTGCTCTACTGCAGTCATGTGAAGTCAATACTTGGGTTCTCTGAGATATTTGAAAAGTCATTTTGTTGTGACCAGCAATTTTGCTCTCTGCCTGAACTCTTAGGAACCTGGAACCTCCCTTCTGAAATTCCACTAAGACAGGGCTTCCCTGGCGACACAAGGGGTTAAAGCACAGCACTATGAAGCACCTCACTGAAGGGAGGTGACTACATGGCCCAGGAGACCTCTGCTGTCCCACCAGCTGCTCCCTCCCCTCAGCAGTGTTATTTCAGTCAATCTGCCTGTCCTGCTCCTCACTGTCTCTGGTGAATCTTCTCACCACACTGTACCTCTGGCCTGTACAGCACACACACACACACACCCCTACAGTCTATACTCTGAAATCATGGGCTTGTTGACTCAGGAGCTGATTAAGACATGTGTGGCCTCCAGTACTGAGGCACTGGAGAGTGTCAAGAAAAACCAGTATTCTATGTTTTAACACCATAAGAGGTCCAAAATATGCTTATTCAGTGCATTTGCTCTATTTTTTTTTCCAGTAGGAGTTCATGTCTAAACCAACCTGGCTTTTTAAACCACAGCAAAGCTTTAGGAAAGATAATGTTACCTTTTTTAAAAATATATATACTGATTAAGACCACATACAAAAATCAGCTGGCTTTGTTTCTTCTGATTCTGTTAAAACTACTGACCACTCTATGTTGTCAGTGCTAGTCACCCTAAAACATGTAAACCAAAAAGAGAGACAAAAGCCATTCTCAGCTGAGGAAGGCTACTTTTTATAAAGGAAAATGTCATTTATGTTGAAACATCCTCCATTTTTCAAACTTTTGTTTTTCAATGTTGGCTGAGAAAAAGGCCTTGTATCAAGCACCTAATATCTACAAAAGCACATGAAGAGCAAGGTTGAGTTCTAATCTGTGTCACAGCCACATGGTAAAAACAGTGCACGTGTCATGAGGTCCTGAAGGGCAATTATTTCCCACAAATAAAAAAAAGCCAGGGCCTTTCCTGATGGTAGTACAACAGGTTAAAGTGCAGCATGGGGAAGTTAGACAGCCGCCCAGCAGACCTCTCCTGCCACTGCTCCCCTCATCAGTGTATTTCAGTATATCTGCCTGTTCTGCTCCACACTCTGTCTCACCAGCACTGCACCTTTGGCCTGTATCCCAGTTCTGTATGCATAAATAATTTTTTTTTTTAAACAAAGGCCTCTCTGAGCATTTTTTTTTTTTTTAAGGATTCATTTGTTTCTGCATACAGAACTGGGGTACAGGTCAGAGATGCAGATCCATGAGAGGCTTCATCAGAGACAGAGTGGAGAACAGAACAGGCGGATTGACTGAAGTACATTGCTGAGGGGCGCAGCGGGTGGGTCAGGAGAGGCCTGCTGTGCCATGTGGGTCAGCTCCCTGGCTAGGGATTGAACTTGCACTGAAGTAGCTGCGGCCAGCTTGCAGTGCTGTGTTCGTAACCCTTTGTGCCGCCAGGGAGGGCCATAACAAATAAATCTTTTTAAAAAAGAAAAAAAGCCAACTGACCCTGCAAGTGAAGCAGGATAACATCAGCCACATACACACAATCCAGGTCCACACCCATAATGCAAAGTCCATGTCCTGTGTAAATTATTATTTCCCTAGCACAGACCCTGAGTGATGAGGAGGATACTGGGCAAGACAGATCCGCCCGTGCATGGTCACTCACCTTCACTAGCCTGCCTTTCCCTCAGTAATCCTCATGCCTCCCCAAAAGTCAAAGCATGCTCAAATGGGGGGGGGGGGCAGACAAAAGACCCCCAAATTAAGAGCTCTGAACCACTTTAATGAAAAATAGCAATTACTTCTGCAAATAAAGTTTGGCATAAGATGACAGTCTTCTGATCCATTAAAGCATTGCACACTGGTTATCACACCAACACTAGTGAGTCCCTAACATTTCTGTGAGGTAAATGAGCATTCTGTTGGAATTATTTTCTCTGGGGTGGAGTGCCAGGGGGTCATGAAATGAAGACAACTGCCAGAGACCACTGAGTTGTTTCAAATGGCAGCATGAGGAAAGAACCACTCTTCAGATTTGAAAACAGCACATTTTATATTGAATAATTTTGTATAAAATCACAGAAAAAGCCAAGTTGTTGGCTGACACCTACATACAAACAAGCACTCACAGATGCACATACACACAAACACAACAAACTGCAGGCATTGGGCCTCCTCAATTCTCAGACCTTAACTACAAGGAGTATAATTACTCTTTGGTGTTCTTAGAAGAGCCAGACATTTACTGTGATACAAAGACAAATTAAAAACTTAGCTTTCACTGTTTTCTGGCTCAGGTCCTTTACTTAAAATTATAATTATTAATTAACATCAATGAACACAAGAGACAGAGATTGTACTGAACCAAATTTATTCTTTTCTAAAATGAAAGCTGATATGACCTTAGATTTCTTTCCCTTTCCAGAGTGAATGAGAAGAAAAGTAATAAATACATCCTTTTAACAACTGCATAGCTTAAATAATGCTTTCATTATGTTCTCATTTAATCCTACTTTCAAAACTCTGAAGCAGCTTTAGAACTGAAGGAGCCAGGGAGAAAAGATTACAGGGCTCCCTAAGGTCACGTGTAAGTGACCTGGCCAGACACCAACCCCACCTATCTACTAAAGAGATAGTGTCTCCTGCCCCATTTCACAAAATAGAAGAACTCTGTACATAAATGCTTAATGTTTGTACAAATGTATAACCTTGTAGATTTACTAAGGGATAAATAGGTTAGGGTTTATCAAAAGTTAGTTTACTTGATATATACATTTCTTCTCCACGTCTTCTTCCCTTTTCATGCAATTTCAATTGATTCCCATTCAATTGACTCCCATAAATCTGAACGAGTTCCAGGTTAAGTTTTCATGAAAATAAAGTAGAAACCATGAATCACATAAAGAATGAACATAAAAGAAGATCTGAATGGAGAAACTTATCACAATCATGATTAGGATATCCATCAAAAAAATGTAAAAATGAGGTTCCAATAGCAATTTGGATTTTTTGTGGAACTTGACATGCTGAATAAACTCTTAGTTAAGAATGAAGGATAGTCAGAGGGGCCTCCCTGGTGGCACAGAGTTTAAAGACACAATGCTATCAAGCTATCACCATGTGTCCAATCCCCGGCCAGCCAGGGAACTGACCCACATGGTGCAGCAGACTTCTCCTGCCTCACCCACTGCTCCCCTCAGCAGTGTATTTTAGTAGACCTGCCTGTTCTGTTCCCCACTCTGTCTCTACTGAATCTTCTCACCTCTTTCACCTTTCCTCTCCGGCACGTCTGACCTACAGCCCAGTTCCTGTGTGCATTAATTAAAAAAAAGGACCAAAATACTTGTGATCAAGTACAAGAATAAGGTAAGGGCCAATCCAGACTGGTTAGAAAACTGCAGCTGTTCATACATGTGGCAGGTCAGAGACAAGTTTCAGAACTCAGAGCATCTGCAGAGTTGAGGTGACAGGATAACCAAGTTCCCTATAAGTGGTTCAAAGACAACTGGCTTTTGCCATGGAGGAAGAGTTAGATTTCCCACCTTGTTCAGACACACATGTCAATACCTCTTTCTTTTGTATTATGTACTAAAGAGAAAACAAAAAACCTTAAAACCTTTACAGGAAAACAAATGTCTTCAGATAAGAGAAGGGTTTCTTGAAGAGAGTGAAAGAAAATCACAAAACATGAGGGAAATCAACATGATTGATATTAAAAATGTACTTCCGGCCCTCCCTGGTGGCGCAGCGGGTTAAAGCACAGCACTAAGAAGCTTAAGCCACTTCCACATGAGTTCGATCCCGCCTGCCCCGGAGGAGATTCACATGGTCTGGCAGACCTCTCCTGCTGGCCCGCTGCTCCCCTCAGCAGTGTACTTCGTCGATCTGCCTGTTCTGCTCCCCACTCTGTTTCTGGTGAATCTTCTCACCCTCCACATCTCTGACCCCAGTTCTGTATGAATAAATAAATAAATCTTTAAAAAAAAAAAGTACTTCCATTACTCTGAGAAAAAAAAAAGTGCATCAAATGAGGTTAAAAGAGATACCTGTAACATGCAAAACTAACAATTATGATCCAATAAATCAATAAGTAAAAGCCAAGTTGCTTGATAAAAACTATGGGCAAAGGTCAAAGGATCAGACAATTTACAGAAGCAGAAATGTATACTGCCAACGGGCATATAAAAATAACAGGACAGCATTCACTGTTCATAATCTGGGAGATGTAAACTAAAACAATGAAAACTAATTTATTACCCATCAGAGTAACAAAAAATTTTAGTATGCCTGTATTAAGAATTTGCAAGATTTCTAAAATGAGATCAGAAAAAAAACACACACAAAGGTGATGAGAATGCAGAGTTAAAACAACTTAGAAAATAGGCCCTCCCTGGTGGCGCAGCAGGTTAAAGCACAGCACTGAGAATCTAAAGCCCTTCCGCATGAGTTCGATTCCCGCCTGCCCCGGAGGTTACCACATGGCGTGGCAGACCTCTCCTGACCCGCCCACTGCTCCCCTCAGCAGTGTACTTCATCGATCTGCCTGTCCTGCTCCCCGCTCTGTCTCTGGTGAATCCTCTCACCCTCCGCGTCTCTGGCCTGTACCCCAGTTCTGTATGCACAAATAAATAAATCTTAAAAAAAAAAAAAAAACAACTTAGAAAATAAGCCAGCAGTTTCTAGAGTATTTCCTGGAGAAAACAACAGAGGAACATGAGAAAACGTGACAAAATATGCATAACAATGGAAGAACTAAAAACTTACATGGTCCTCAACAGGAAAAAAGATAAATTGCGGTATGTCCAATCAAAGTATCAAGCAATTAAAAAGCAAAGAAGAATAAAATTTACCAGCATAAAGAATGTTAACTTAAAATAAACAAACTACAAAATGATAAATATAGTATGAAATTATTCATGTGACCTTTTCTAATATATTTATTTTAACAATGCTGTCCATTTTTATACAATGTTTCATTTCTCCCCCTCAGGTATAATACCCAAGGTTCCCGCCATCACATCACCCATGAACCACCCTGTGGCATTTAAACCACATAAAACACTGTAATGTCCTATCTATAGATGAGCATGCGTGTGGTGAAAAAGTGAAACAGAGTAAAGGAACAATACTTGCAATTTCAGCAGTCTGTATTTCTGAGGAAAGGGGGGAGTGAGATGGGAGGCTTGAAGTCAATCTGTAATATTCTGCTATCTATACATACAACAAAATATCACCATTTTTATTAGGGCCTCCTTGTTGACGCAAAGGGTCACAGTGCAGCACTGTGCAGCTAGGAGCAGCCACTGAAGCAAGAGTTTGATCCCCACCCAGGGAGCTGACCTACATTGAGCAGCAGACCTCTCCTGTCCAGCCCTCTGCTCCCCTCAGCTGTGTATTTCAATCAATCTGCCATTCTGTTCCCCAATCTGTTTCTGGTGAATCCTCTCACCCCCTCTCCCGCACCTCTGGCCTGTACCCCACGTTCTTGTATGCACAAATAAATGAATCTTTTCTAAAAGAGAAAATCAGACTTAAAATAAAACCATTTATTATATCTCCACATAGATCAACAGAACAAAGTTTTGTCTTACCTCAACTGAAGAGCGAGGAGTCACAAAGAACTGATTGAATTCATCCGGGCTAAAATCTCCAAATATGTACTGGAAAAAAAAACCATTGATCACATAAGACATAAAATTATGTACTTTTTGAAAACTAAGCTCTATATTATAGCTATTCTATGAAATATGTGGGCCAGAGTCCCAAGACTCTGTCTCAAACAAATCAGGATCTGCAAGCAGGTTTCCAGATGTGCTATTTCCCAGTTTCAAATAAGGAAAACACCACTTAGTCTTTTCTATCAATCCCCAAAGAACACTCTGAAATGGATAAAACCTTATTTTCAAACAAATTCAAAAACTTATTGTCAACTCTGCACACCAAAAAAGAGAGTCCTGCTTAAAGTTTTGGCTCCCAGCGTTGCCAGTTGATCCAGTCACTTTCTGCTGACTCACGCTCTGGCCACATTTCAGTTCTCTCTGCACACACTAAAGGAAGGCAGCAAACATGGCTCAAGTGGGAAGACAGAGAAATCCAAAGTGACCAAATGTTGGTAACCCTAAAAAAAATGAATGTAGCTTTTCTTAAAAAATACATGAGAACATGATGCAAAGTGAGCTTAATGCTTGACAGAGACCCAGCTGCTCTCTGAATGTGAAAACAAGCTGGCAAGTGCCTTAGGCTCACTGTCTCCCTGGAGCTTGAGCTAAGTCACCGACAAAATCAGCATGATGAGATTTCTGCAACAGAGAAGCACTCACTCATCATCATTTAATAATCATAGGGAGCCTTCGAGAAGCCACACATGATGATGGGCACTGGGGCTAGAACTGGTCAAGCAGAGCTGTGGATCAGACACATCAATGAGCTGACAGCTCGGTCACTTGCAAGGAACCTACAAGCATGTGACTCAAATATAAGCAGTAACACAATATCCTATAGATGACAACTACCCTGCACTTCAGGGGCGGGGAACATGGAGAACACACCCATATTTCTGGGCAAAACGTTTCTGGAAGGCTTTCTGATGATAAGCACCAAGACTACAAATATATGTACATTTGTTTGTTTGTTTGTTTAAAAAACTTCATGTATAGCTACATATACCTGTAAAAGTCCACAAAGAAACTGCACATCAACAGTATTGGTAAAAAAATAAGTGGAGTCCCTAAAATGATTCATTGTAAGCACACTTTATCATCTCCAGCACTGGGGAAACACATTCAGGTCATGCAACTGCCATGAGAAGGTAGCAGAACTGAAAAGGAAGAAGGGAGGGAGGAGAGTGGGGGGGTGCGGGGGAAGGTGGGGGTGGGTGGAAGAAGGCCCCTCAGACTGGTGCTCTTCAGAGTCCCCACCAGAGATAAAGATCTTCAGGTCTAGATAAAAAAAACTCCAAACTCTACTCAGAAGAAAGTATCCCAGAAAATACCACATGCTGGTGAAGTGATCAAGCAAATGAGCTCTCTAGGAGGCTACCACTGGTGCACAATGGTACAGTCACTTTGGGAAAGAATTTACAAGTTTCTTATAAAGCTGTTCAGCATGCGAACCAGTAATCCCTCTCTTAGGTACATGCCCACTAGGTGAAGTCCCATGTACACCAAAACCCCGATTTTTTTTACATGTACAGCAGTTCTAGCCATAAATAACCCAACCTGGAAACAACCAAATGTTCCAAGAGGTAAATGTAAATGTAGTACACCAAATCCTACTCAGTGATTCTAAAAGCACCACACCAAAAATGAAAGAATACAGACTTGTTAAAAGGTTACATATTGTATGACTGCATTTATAAACAACAGTCTAAGCCAAAACTATCAGGACAGAAAACACATGTGTTTGTCAAGGTGCAGGGAAGTCTTGAGGGTTGATGAAAACATTCACACACAGAGGAAACTTGTTGAGGAAACATTAATCTTCTGAACTGCCAAAGAAACACAGACACTAAAATATTAATATTTTCCACCCAAGCATGGGAACAGACAACACAAAAAAATCACAAGGCATGAGGGGGAAATCAATAGCAAGACATAGTCAGAATTTGAAATGATGGGAAAATAAAATAAATTGATGCTGAACAAACACAGGAAACAGAAGAGAACTTTAAAAACCATTTTGATGTCTATCCTTAAATTCTAGCAGATAAAATAAACACTGACTGTCACTGACAAAAGTGGACCTACTGGAGAACAAGTGTTCACAGAAAAAATAAAATTAAGAAATTTAAAACCTCAACACAATCAGTAAAACCAGAAGGCAATGGAGCAATCAATGGTTTGCAAGTTCCAATAATGTTCCCAGAATTCTAGAGTATTTCATTTCCATGTGATTCTGTTCTGCAGGTAAGCTTTTTACTCAAGTGCAAAGAAAAAGTAACATTCTGACACCCATATCCTCTCCTAGCATTGGAGGAAGGTGCTAGAAAATGACTTCAAGAGACAAACAAGATCCAAAAAACCAATGATGTGATAATTGTAAAGACTACTAAAAATACAACAATCACCAAACTAGAACCACATTGCTTCACTTAATAGTAGAGGCCCTCCCTGGTGGCGCCGCAGGCTAAAGCATAGCGCTGCAAGGTGGCCGCAGCTGCTTCAGTGCCAGTTCAATCCCTGGTGGCGCAGCAGACCTTCCCTGCCTCGCCCACTGCTCCCCTCAGCAGTGTACTTCATCATTCGGCCTGTTCTGCTCCCCTCTCTGTCTCCAGTGAATCTTCTCACTGCCCCTGTACCTCTGGCATATACCCCAGTTCTGTATGGACAAATATATAAATCTTTTAAAGTATATATATATATATATATATATATATATATATATTTGAAGCAGTAGAGTGAAAGATATCCATTTTATCCTTGCTTACAAATAAAGAAACAATTTAGAATGTGGAATGATATATAAGGATGAGAACTGCATGATGACCTACAAGATTATTAGACTGTTTTGTTGGAAAAAGATTTTCCTCCTAAAAAAATTGAAATAAAAATGAAATGCTCACTTATATCACATTTCTAAGCACACTTTCTTTCTTTCTTTTTTTTTTTTTTTTTTTTTTGCTCATACACAGTCTTTTACAAAGAGAAATCTGGTTAATCCAAGTAAGAAAATTTCTAATGATTAAATAAAATCCTGTCACTAAGGCCCTCCCTGGTGGTACAGGGGGCTAAAGCACAGCACTAAGAAGCTTAAGCCGCTTCAGCATGAGTTCGATTCCCGCCTGCCCCGGAGGAGACCACATGGCCCGGCAGACCTCTCCTGACGTCTGCTGCTCCCCTCAGCAGTGTAATTCATCAGTCGGCCTGTTCTGTTTCCCACTCTGTCTCTGGTGAATCCTCTCACCCTCTGCATCTCTGGCCTGTACCCCAGTTCTGTATGAATAAATAAATAAATCTTTAAAAGAAAAAAACCCTGTCACTATAGAGGGAGAGTGAAGAGAACACATGACCCCAAACCACTGGTGCACCCAAGATCACCTGTCTGAGCAGCAGTCCCCACACTAGCAAGCTAGGAGCACACTCAGGACCAAGAGATTAAATGCTCAGAAAGACTTCAGGGAAATCTTTTTTCTTCTATTACTTGATGTTACTATTTACACGTGTTATTTGAAAAAAGTAGAACCTTTTTGTTTGTTTGGTTGTTTCTGTACAACTGGAGTACAGGGCAGAGGCGTGAAAGATGAGAGGATCTACCAGACAGAGGCAGGAGCAGACAGGCTGTGTCACATGTGGATCAGCTCCCTGGCCAGGGACTGACTCAGCCATAGCAGTGACAGCACTGAGACTACACACCTAGGCCACCAGGGAGGCTCCTGGTGTGCTTTTATTACGACTTCATGTCAAATATTTCTCCACAAATATGCATCTCTAATGCTATTACTAAATTTTACTGTGGTAAAATAAGGATGTACAAATACCAGAAATCAAATTAAAGAATTATTCTTGGGATAAAAAAGGGGAGGAAAACAGATATATCTGTGTGTCTTTGCATAAAGAGACTGAAAAGGGACTCCAGAAGGGAGGACAGGGGTCTCCCTGATGGCACAATGGTTAAGTCTCAGCACCGTGAAGCTATCTGCAGCCACTGCAGCATAGTTTCATCCCTGGGCAAGGAGCTGACCCACATGGTGCAGCAGACCTCTCCTGTCTTGCCCGCTGCTCCCCTCAGCAGTGTATTTCACTCAATCCGCCTGCTTTGTTTCCCCTATCTCTGGTGAAGTCTCTCACCCCCAGCCCACCTCTGGATTGTACCCCAATTCTTGTATGCATAAGTAAATAAATCCTTAAAAAGATGGGAGGATAACAGGCTATGGGGAGGCTCAACAGAGGTATTGGAGTAAGGAGTGAGATTTCTCAATGTCTATTAGTTCAGCTTTTAGTACTGAACTGTAATAAAAGAAACCACTGATATGATAGTTATGGCAACTACTGCAAATTTTAACAATCACCAATTGCTCTTCTTTGTGTAAAAAAAAAAAGTAATTGTTGAAAAACAATGCAAGCAACAGAAAACCCTGTAATTACTTAATATATCCCATTTGCACCTTTGCTAGTTTCAAGATTAGGGACTTGATGACAACATTTAATCCAAAAAAGACACCATAAGTAACTGCTAGCCATCAGCTATGCAACACTGAATATCACTTAACACTTGACAAATGGCTAGGACTGTTTTGAACTTCAGCACAGTACACAACTCCATGGAAATAAAAATCAGATTATGGCTCTCTCTTCCATTGTAAGAACTTGCCTCAGGAGAGAGTGGAGGGACATACTCAACAAACTCCAAAGCATTAAATGGCAACCAAGAATACTCTACCCTGCCAAGCTCTCCTTCCTCTATGAAGAAAGAATAAGGACATTATCAGACAAACAGAAACTCCACAATTTCATCATGACTAAACCCCCACTCCAAAAACTACTACAAGAAGCCCTCAAACCAAATCCAACAAAAGAATGAACAAGAACAGTTCAAAACAAGGAATAAAAATACAGAAGGACCATAATGGCAAATGTAGCTGCCAGTATATCAATATTATCTCTAAATGTAAATGGCTTAAACTCATCAGTAAAAAGAGAGTTGCAGAGTGGATTAAAAAACA